CAACGATATCCGAAGCGGTACTGTCTAGCTTGGCGACGGTGTTGGCAAGATCGATGCCTGATAGAAGTCAAAGAGATTAGCGCTTAGCTTCTCGGGCTGTGTGTATTGGAGAGACGGTGCGACATACCTCTCCAAGCTGCGATGGCCCGCTGGAACTTGTTTGCGCCCTCGGGAAGCTTGCCGGTGGTGGCCTTTTCGGCCTCGTGGCCCTGCTGAGGACTAGTCTCAGGGACAATGGCTTCCGTGATGGCGAACGCATCCATTTTTGCGTGTAGAATACTTGACCCGCCTCGGTGTTCCAGTAGATAGCACAGCAACCCCCATCCGACACTGCACCCGAAATTACCGCTTTTTCTGGATGAGAGACAACCGACTGAATGAAGCCAGTTAACGTAATGCGATGCGGAGGCCTGCGACTCCGATCGGCCCGATGATCTTCCGGATAACAACAATCGGGCAACGTCAGTGGATGGTGGATGAATAACAGGGGAATGGCTAGACTATCAGTCAAAAGGGTAGAGAGTCTCTTGCTTATTGACTTAGGAGTGGGTGTGATGTGAAAAGAAAGAAGGTGAGGCTCGCGATGACCGCTGATTCAACGCTGTCTCTCCTGTGTCTCCGTCTACCGTAATGCAGATCAGATCGATTGCCAGATCTTGCTCCTGTCTACTTATTTATAGCAATCATTGCACACGTTCGTCTCGGCCAAGTCAATGATGACTGTTGACAGGAGGACGTGTCCGGTTAGATTCTTACGACATATCACATGTGCGGCTTCTGTCGATCTTTACCACCCTCTTTTCATGCTCATTGCGAGGCATGCCAGTTCAGCTTGTTTAGCATGAAAGCATGACAGTCGCTTGTGTAAGGCTCATACAGCCTGAGGTTACCATTGCAAGCCATATGAAGGCAGTAGTGCAGCTGTCAACAGTGCCTTGCTATTGCATGAGACATCCTGTTGCATGACAGTGACTTGCTTTATCGTGATCCATACTTCATACTTCATACTTCATACCTGTTGATGGTTGACAGAAACGGCCCACCCTGAGTCAGCAAGCTAAGCCAACCGCGGCTCGGGCCCACCGCCTAGGCAGTCCCATACTCCCTCCCATGTAGTGAACACCGCCCGCCAAACACCCGGAAGCTCCCCAAGTTCCTGACCATCCCCTCAACAACAATTACTCTTACGACACCAGAGCTGGTCTCATCATGGTGTCTGAAGAGGAGGGTGTCAGCCCGCGCAAACGGCGGAAGATCGGCCCTCCCAAGGCAGCTCCATATGTTCTACGATCGCTGTTTGAGCAGGTTCCCTTGAATCCCGACGACAACGATGACGAAGTCCACATCACCACTGTTGAGTATTGGAGTAAGTGCTTTAGGGCCGGGGCCATTGAGCACCCACGCGTTCATCTCTAACCAGTCTTCTTCCAGATGACAATCTATACATTGGAACGTCTGCCGCCGAGATTCTTCACTTCGTCTGCCTTCCACCGGACCCCTCGGACAAGTCGAACGAACCCTCGTTTATCCTAGCTTCACGATTACCAATTCCCTTTGCCAACTCTACATCTACGGCGACCAAGCCGCTTGGGATACAGCATATTCTCTTGTTACCAGCTGTCAACAAGGCTTGTGTTCTATGCAATGGAACTGTCACCTTCTACATGCTACCGGAGCTTAGTCCGGCTTTCGGGAATACCAAGGTCAACAATTGTTCCTGGATCGGAGGAGTAAACCTCAACACAGGCGCGGACGAGCAGAATGAGCAGGTGGTCATGATCGCGGCGCAGAATCGTACTATGCTGGTGAGAATCGGGGAGGAAGCTCGACGTATCAGGAACATCGAATTTCCTGGATGCCTGGTCGCGGCGCGCAGAGGAATCATCGCGTGTGCCGCAGATGCACACTCGTACTCCCTCGTTGATGTGGAGAACCAGCAGAAAATACAACTGTTTCCCATCTCTTTCTCGAACGAGAATTTCGAACCCAACCAAGTCCACGATGTGTCGACAGCTCCGCCCTTGAAGTCGCCGACCTCCCCGTTCTTTGCGCATTCGCCCACCTCAGAGAGCCATCTGTTTGAAAGGAGCTTCAGCTCAAACACAAAGTCTGGCTTGTTGCAACCACACGGACACAAGCGATCAAGCTCAGCCACCTCGGAACTCACCCCGGAGTCGGGAACACCAAGACGCTCGCTGTCGAAAGAGCGTGCAGGGAGCGCATCTCCTAGGCGAAGTATGGAGAACCCACCGCATGATCCAGAATCTAGCTCGGAAGAAAGGAAGCCACTTCCTCCTCTTCCAAAGCCGACGCAACTGAGGCCCCACATTCTGTCGCCGACCCCGTCTGAATTTCTGCTTGTGAGGGGGACGGACGGGTCGGAGCCTGGAGTCGGCATGTTTGTTAACATCGACGGCGATGTGGTTCGTGGCACTATCACCTTTCACAAGTATCCGGAATCTATCGTCATCGATAAAGGCAACGAGAACAACATGATTCATTCGCCTGAAAACACCCATGAAGAACTGCTGCTTGCAGTGATAGAGGCAGAAAAGGAAGGAAAACGCCGCAAGTTCCTGGAGGTTCAACTCTGGGATGTTGATCCCGGGGAAGCGGACGAGAACAAAACCTGGGTTGAGATACCGTCTTCAGACGTGCAGCCTACGCATGTGGGTCTCAGCCATACGATAAGTCCGAGTCAGCTGGAGATCGCCGAGATGGGCAAGCTCTTGCGGATGGTGCGCTTGAAAACGCCGTCGCTGGCACCGCATGTGCCTGCTACCGATCCGAGAACGCAGGCGTCGATCGAACAGCTACAAAAAGAAAAGGAGCTATTCGAGGGCCAGGAAGGGACTGGTGAGGCCGAGCGTGGCTGGGAAGTAGAGCGCAATGCCGAAGAAGCCAAGTTTGCGCGCGCCTTGGGCCAAACACAGAGCAGTCTTATCATGTGGAACGGTGATCAGATATGGCGGGTGGTGAAGAACCCGCTAACAACGCAGCTGGATGACGCCCTACAGAGCGCCCAAGTACCGGATACAGATGGGGGTAGTGTTCTCAAGCGGGATGCCATCACAGACGTCATCGACCTTGTTCAGGCTGCAGAGCCCAAATCCGAATCCGAATTTCTAGGCTTGAATTACCTGAAGCAGAAAGCTAGTCTGCTTCTTTTTGGTGACATGATTCTCATGGATTCAGATCACAGGGATGAGGTCACTATAGACGCTACGGAGCGAGCTCTCATTGTGGGAAACCTGGACCCCCGCATTCCGCTCCTGTTGATCCCGATATTGCGACGAGAGGTCCTGCAGAGCCCGGAAGGGATCTGGATACACGCGGGCTTGGCGGAGATCACAGAGAGTTACGTGCAGCGGCTGGATAAGACTGCGGGCGGCAGGGCCTCGGACAGTGCCGTGCTGGATATGATCAAGAGGTTTCTGTTCTCCTGGCAGCAAAAGAGGGGTTACGGAAGTATCACCGATGAGACCTACGTGTTCGACAGCGTCGACGCGGCTTTCCTGCACTTACTCCTGGAACAGGACGCACAACTCGCGCCTGCACAACGATCAAGCTCTCCATTACGCATCGAACTGAACAGGCTTGTGGATAATTGGAAGGGCAATCTGGACCGCGCGGTGGCGTTATTAGAGCAGTATCGACGACTGTTTGTTTTGAGCCGACTATATCAGAGCCAGAAGATGTCTCGCAATGTCTTGAAAACATGGCGCAGGATCATCGACGGTGAAGAGGACCTGGGCGGCGAGATCACGATTGCTGGTACCGAGGCACAGATGCGCCGGTACCTGGTCAAGATCAAAGACGTTCAACTGGTGGAAGAGTACGGGGCGTGGCTTGCGCAGCGCAATCCCAGCTTGGGCATACAAGTGTTCTCTGATGGCACGAGCAGAGTCAAGCTGGAAACTGCCGATGTTGTGGCTCTTCTCAAGCAGCAAGCACCTAGTGCCGTCCAAGCATACTTGGAACACCTGGTCTTTGCCAGAAATGTGAGTAGCGCTGTTCGTATTCTCAACTAAGCTTTGTCTGACTGATTGTCATTCAGCTCACCCAATATGCGGATGACCTGCTGGCATACTACCTCGATTCCGTCCTCTCTGTGCTGGAGACGTCGCCGTCAGCACGAGCTTCCCTGTCTGAATCCTACTCCACCTACCGCGCTCTGAGCGCTCCGAAGCCGACCTACATGAATTTCATCACGGTGAACACCCCCTCAGAACCATGGTGGCAATCCCGGCTTCGGCTCCTCCAGCTCCTCGGCGGCGGCGGCAGCACCGGAGGCAGCCAGTTCACCTCGATGCCGTCGCGCACCTTCACCTTTTCCATCCCTGCCGTTCTGGCCCGGATCGAACCTTTCCAGAACGAGCTCGTCTCGGAATCCATCATTCTCGACGGTCTTCAGGGCCGCCACCGTGAAGCTCTTCATCTCCTGACGCACGGCCTCGGCGATTACGATTCCGCCATCCGATACTGTCTCTTCGGCGGCCCGCAGGCCACCAGCAGCTCGTCGTCCTTTGCGGACCGAACACAGCAGAGCGAGCTCTTCCGGTTCTTGTTGGATGAGTTCCTGAAGATCCAGGATTCGTCGGAGCGCATCGAGCGGACCAGCGATCTTCTGGGCCGGTTCGCGGCGTGGTTCGACGTCGGAGAGGTTCTCCGGATTATCCCGGACGAGTGGAGCGTCGATATCCTGGGCGGGTTTCTGGCGCACGTGTTCCGGGTGCTGGTGGCGGAGGGCCGGGAGGTGCGGATCGAGCGAGCGCTGAGCGCGGGGCTGAACCTGCGGGTGGGGACCGAGTATATCGAGGGGGTGGAGAAGCTGGGCGCCTGGGTCGAGGATGGAGATGGGTTGCGGCGGCTGAAGGACCAGCCGGTGGTTCGAGAGGAGACCGAGGAGTTCGGGGATATTGTGGAAGCCGATAGCTGATGATGACGATCACGATGTTTGTTGTATATATGACTTGTATATAGCTATGCCAAAGCCTTGAAGCCTTGTACCGTGCACGCCTTACATCCAGGTTTGGTGGCTTGAATGAAACATGTGGCAATTTGGTCGACATATCAACAATGCGCATAACCCTAATATATAGATAGAGTGAGGCTTCCCGGGGGAGAACCCCCGGACCCCCCTTCTTTTCAGCTCCCCAGTAACCTCAACCACAAACCACAGAACATGAATAGTACCTACAACTCCAGTCGATCATGCAACTCCCCCCAAACCACCTCCCTATCCTCCTCCTTACCATCAGACTCCGAACCTCCATCCACCAAACTCCGCAACCTGCCCACCAACTCCTCAACCCCCATCTCCCCATCCCCCTCCCAAAACTCTCCCCCCTTACCCCCATCACACTTAGGCACAATCACAGACCTCGTAAGAACATGGCCCACCCCATCCCGCACCACCAAATCCCGCACCCCCACCCGCTCCCCAGAAACAGTAAGGCCCCCCCACGGCCCCAGATTCGCCACTTCCACGCCCACCGTGCGCCCGTCCAGCAGCGTCTCCAAATCAAAATGCTTGAGCCCATGTACCGGCTCAATGTTTCCGGACGTCGTATACTCCACATCCGAGTAGAGCGTGCGCCGCGGCACGAGATGGTACTCCAGCAGCGCACGGAGGTACGGCGTCCCGTAGTCCGAGAACAGGAAGGCGTTGGCCTTGTACCCCAGTCTGCTGAACGCGCGGTTCGTGGGGAGGAAGTACGTTCCTCCCTGCCCTTGACCCTTCTTATCTTTCTCGGGGGAAGGGGATGGGGGGTTCGTGGTTGGCTCGGGGCTGGGTTCCCCGGGTTTGGTATGGGGACAGTGGTGGGTATGGTTAAGTCGGGCCGCGAGACCCGTGCGGTGGAGGGCGAGCGCGAGGGTGCTGAATTGCGTGGGCACGATGGTCGTCAGCGTCAGCAGCGACGGCGGCGGCAGCAGGATCGCGTCGATCGTGTACAGCGCGCCGTTGGCGGCGCGTTTCTCCGTCGCCAGGATGCGGCTGTAGTGGTTCAGGGTCGGGCCGTGCAGCGTCGTGCTGATGCTGAGGCGCTGCGGGAGGGAGGAGCCCTTTTGCTCGCGGCTGGCGCGGCTGGGGCCCGGGGCGGGGGGCTGAGGGCTGAGCAGCGGCTCCGTCAGGAGAGTGGGCAGCGTGTGCGCGTGGAAGAGCTCGGCCGGGCTGTATACCGCGGACACGAGGTGGTATTTCAGCACCGCGCGGATGAGTTCGCGGGGTGGTTTGTGGTGGTCGCGGTCGTGGTCTCCGTGTTTATCACGGGTGTCGTTGTCGTCGTCGTCGTCGTCGTCGTCATCGTGACGGTGTTTGTCGTGGTGGTGATGCGGGATTTTGGCAAACGCTTCGTCGGTGGGCGCGAAGAGGGTGAGGTTGGCGGCCGTGCGGTTCAGCAGCTCCACTAGGTGCGAGTCGTCGTGCACGATGCGGGCTAGGATGGTGGTGTGAGGGTTCTCGGAGATTAGATCGTACAGCGACTTGTTGGACGGCGGGTGCTGCGGGTACGGCGGCGGAGACGGCCGGCGGAAGGGCGGAGGAGGAGGTGGAGGTGACAGTTGCTGTTCCTCGGGGGCGTGGGTCTCGTCTGCTAGCTCGTCGATCCAGGAGGTGATCTGCTGCACGGGCGAGTAGGTTTCCACCGCGGACGAGAGGCGCGAGAGGATGTCGAATAGATGATGGTGGTCGTGCGTCTCTTGCTCCTGCTCCTCTTGCAGGTCTGGCTTTGGTTCGCGGAGGATCGCCTGCTGCTTGGGGGGGATCAGAAAGGCGGATGTCAGCGGAAGGGCCGCGACGGCCCAGTATTGGAGATGCTTCATGTTGGCCTCGTGCGGAGATGGGCCATGAGTGTTTGTCTACATGCTGGAAAGAAAGACTCGTAAGACGAGAGGGGTGGGCGATGTTATACTGGACCAAAAGTCGAATATACTTCCGACCAGCTGCGTCTAGACCGGGCGGTCACCCCCGAACTGGAATCATCGTCATCATCCCCATCCCTGCCGTGATGTCATGACATGTCACTCGGTAACTTAGAGGTCGCTAATTTCATTGATCTTTCTTTCTAATCACCCATTCTGCTGCAGTCACTGCTCGAAGCACGAAGCCCAAAGCCCAAAGCACATCTGGTATATCCTTTCATCTGCTTTCGTAAATGGGATGACTCCTCGACCAGTAGATGCCTTCATCAACTCAACTGGGATTACTCGGCGTTAGGTAGCCGGGCATCGAGGCCATCAACCTCAGCCGTCATGTCACAAGCCAGAGCCGATGCTCTTCAAATCACAATACATGGAATCCCCACCCACGGAACCCTTACTCCTCCGGCTGCACGAACGGATTGGCGATCTCCTCGCTGCCATCGGCCGGGGAGATCAACACAATCAGCGTACCACGGGCCACGATCAACCCCAGAGAGCGCGTGGTCTCGTTGCCCTCGTCATCTGTGCCCTCTCCCATTAGTCAAAGCTGGCATAGTGAGCTAGATAGCAAAAAGCAACCTACCGCGCATGCCTTCCTTCACATCGTCCAGAACCAAATTCATCAATTGGTCGTAGCCCTTCAGGATACCAGTGACTGGGGACGGGGATGTTAGTTCGTAATCGACAGGGATGCTGACAAAGCTGACAACAAGGATAACTCACCCTCACGGCCGCCATTGAACTTGACGCGCACCTCCTTGTCCATGTACTTGTTCAGATCCAGGATGTTCTCCTTCTTGGGCTTTTCTTGCTGCTGCTGCTGCTGCTGGTCGCGGTGCTCGCGGTGCTCGCGGTGTGCACCGCCACCTGCACCGCCACTGCGGCCCTGCCCGCCACGGCCGCCAGACCGGTCACCGTAACCTCCGCCGCGGCCGCGACCTCCTCGGAATGAGCCTCGTTCGGACATGGCTTGGCTGTGTTGGGGAGAAACTTCAATTGAAAAGCGTGAAGAGGGGCTAATGTATACTGGACTGATCGTGTGTCCAATTAGAGCGGCGTGGATTAGATAATGATGCACGTGCCGTAACCTCCGTAGTAACTCAAGTCACTAACTCAAAGAGAGAGGGGGGAAGGGGAGACCTCGGAGGGAGGGAGGGGCAGCACCAGGGAATGGAGACGTTGGGATTTGAGAGGTGGAAAGACGATCTCAATCGGTTGGAGTGACCCGGAGTGGGAGAAATTTTTCGACCCGATAAGGCGAGGGGGGGGGAGGAAAGGGGCGGAATGGGAAGAACGATGGTGATTTGAAGTAACAAAGGTGATATCAGTATGAGGGATTTTACATCTGCAAAAGTGGTCGCAGCCGCGACGGAGTAACTCCACCAGTTGTCGGTTCCCGGGCGGTGGTGCGTATGCTTATCCATGTTGCGAATCGATGCCTACCATTTTCTCTCCCGTGACTTTCCCGCTCGACAACCCACCGCCCACACTCTTTCACCGCCTTCACACCCTTCGGGGAAGAAGGGTCGGAGTATATACGGAGTACTCATTGTCCGACAGGGTGGGAACGATTTGAGTCTCTATACCCTTGGCTGATATCTAACTTGTACGCAGCTGTCGTTTGCTGTTTAGTTGGAAGACTCATTGCTTTTACATCATAGTCTCGTGACTTTCCTTGGTCGAGTTCCAGGACTTGTATACCTACGGATATATAAATAAACATCGACAGCATAAGCTCAAGGTCACAATGGACTATCAGCGCACACCCCTTGGCAATTCTGATCTACTCACATCGACTGAATCCTGATCAATAACAGAAACAGCACACAGCTGAAGCATCAAATACCAACGTCGCTGCTAAGAGGTACCAGATGGTGGAAGAGTAAAAGACGGTGTTGGTCACACCGTGGATACTGACAATACCTGACCCATAGCTGACCACCGGCCCGGTCTAGCGTGGGGATGGGATATCTCTGTGGCTGGAACACCGGTCAGTCGGATGGATATCGGCCCTGGCAACCTCGACTCTAGGCTCATTAGGCACCGAATTTCCAGGTCAGGCCCATGCGTGCGTCTATGGTGTACCGTACTGCACACCGTGCAGCTCCATCAATACCCGCCCGTCTCCTTTCCGTCAACCTGCAACCAAGATGGGAGCACGAAGACTGGTGGTACGGAGTCCGTGGATTGGCACACGGGGAAAATCGACGATCCTCCCCCTGCCTGGCGGAGCGCGCCTCTGGCAGCACATGGGACGAGACAGTCGAGCTATTCGGTGGTGATCGGTCAGTTAGTGAGGGAAGGACGGGGACGGATCGTTCCCCCCTATGATGACATCAAATCCTGAGACAGGATCCAACCGCCCGACAACGTGTCTGTACCCTTTTCCTGTAGCCATCGTGGTACTTGCGTTCCTGAGGGTCCGTCCGCAAGGGGGCGAAACCGATGCACCCTCGCGCAGTGGGCTTGTGGATGTGGATAAGCATCTTCAATGGTGATGGTGACAATGGTGGTATCGAATTGATTCGCCTGTATTGGTCATGACCGTGACGGGTTACGGCTCATCCGAATGGACAGCGGAAGAGCCCGGCGGGACTCCGCCCCTGGCTGTTTCTTACGCATCCACCAGTAGGACACCCGACGATAAGAAGATTGGGATGGATGGACATGGATGGACAAGGGACTGACTCTTGTGTGATTCAGGGCTAACGGAGAGTGTCCAGGGAGTACACCTGCACTCTACAGTACGTATTGATTGAGTAGGCCAATGTTTGCGGAAGATCGGAAGAGAGTGAGTGCGAAAGATAATAATAACCAGCTGAGTGACTGGATGGAGCAGGTGACTTTCCGGGCTCGCCCGTTCCGCCATCCCCTCTGCTTCAATTCTTCCTCCTCCTCCTCCTCCTCCGTCGGTCTTCTATTCTTATCCACTCATGGCTCTTTCTTTTATCCACCCCCATCCACCCCCCCCTCTCCCCCCTGCGGTGATTATCTGCGAGCCACAACCACAACCCGCTTGTCGGACCAGCCGGCCAACAAGTAACCAAATGGGTTGAACCCCAACTCTCTTCCACTTGTTCCTCAAAAGCAACGAGTTATTTGTTCATTCGTTAAGTGCGTGGTTCGTTCAACTTGCCCGCTCTCTGACCTTCCTGTTTCTGTTAGTCGTTCTCTCGCGATTGTCGCGTTCTCCTCTCCCTCTCCGTCGGCTCCTCTTTTCCTCTCCTCCTCCCTCTCTCCTCCCTTATCCTTTAACCAACTTTTCCTTTCCTCTCTTCCACTTTCTTCCTTACTTCCCGCGCAACCATTTCTTTTCCATCACTTCCTGCTTGTCCCACCCCCCACTCATCCCATCCCATCCCAGTTTCCTCCCATCCCGGTTTGCATCGGCTGGGGGTTATCGCGATTACCTAACTTGAACGCAGTACGCGCTGCCCAGTGGCTGATTGGGAGCCCGCACTCTGGAGCCTTATGCTCCGCCATCGGCAGCCTGTCTTTCGCCAGCGTTCCCATTACTCATTCCCTCAATAATCCCTTTTCTCCTCTCGCTCCGTCGCTTTCCCTTTCCCTTCCCCGCCTGGCCTTTTTTCTTCTGTGACTACCGCTATAGTCGCGATCCTAGGACCTCTTCCCTCCCTCCCTCCTCTCCCCTCTCCCCCCTCTCCCCCCTCTCCCCTCCCTTCTCTCTCTTCCCTCCTCACCACCCTTTCCCTCTCCTTTCCGCCTCTTCTTGTCATCACTATGGAGTCTCGACCTGCGACGGCTGAGCCGTCCAGTAAGCGGCCGCGATCGCCGTCCGGCGACTTTCCTCCTATCGCATCCAAAGTCCCCAAGCCTTCCAATCACCTGCAGATCAACTACCTGGCCCGTCAGTATCCGGACAATCTGCCTCTGGTTTCCGTCGAGGATACCATGCCTTCAATCATTCACTTAATTGGAGAATATGATGGCGTCTTGCACCGACACGAGAGTATCGCCGGCAATTTGGGCGCTTGTCCATTAGGCCCCATTCTGATTAAGCGCTTCGAGCGCCTTTTCGACGGACCGCCCCGCGTGCTCAAGTCCCATGGCAAGGATTCCCCCAACGTCACCTGGCTGGACGTGGTGGAATTCGCCAAAAACAAACCGGAACAGTTTAACCTGGAGAAGTCTCGCAATGGCGTGCGCGTCTGTCAATTCTACACCAAACAGTGTCGCGTGGAGATCAGCGAGGAGGATTTTGTCCTGATTGCATCGGGCATGCCGCAGAAAATGATTCCTCCTCAGCCGATCATTGAAGACGAAGAGAAGGAACTGGGCGCGCTTGAGATATTGGAGAAGAACCTCCAGCAGATCATCCAGGCGGCCGACCAAGGTGAGCTCATCCCAGACCTACGCATTTACACCAAAGATTAGCTTATCTGACGGGTTGCATTTTAGTATCCGCGCGAGCCCGACAACTCAACCATCGCCTGAAGAACCGGAGGACGGCGATCGTGACCCGTCGAGAAAACGACATGTCCCTTCATTCGCAACGACAACAGCAACATCGCTCGATAAGTCCTGCGTGGCGCGATGCGAACGGACATGGACTACCAGCCCTCAATGGCAGCGCTCCGGTGAGCGCGCACTCTCCATCCACTGGTTTTGTGGCGGTCAATGCCGGCCGGCCCGGCGCTGGCGAAGCTGCCGTGGAGGAGAACTCGCTCTCGTCGCAATTTATGTTTTCGCACTCGAACACGGACAACGTCACAATTATTAACGGCACCTCTATCAAAGGAGCGTCCCCGACCACGCGCGCCGAGCTAATGAAGAAGTTCTTCACTACGCAAGACCGGCAGTCCCGGTCCTACGAGGAAGGGCCTGACTCGTCAGTCCGACAGTCATCACGCCCGCGCCCGCGAGCGTCGGACGCGTCGGAGTACAACATGTATACTCCAGCTCCAACCACCGTCGCCATCCCGAGTACGCCGTCGTCGTTGCTACCACCGCCCAAGTCCCACCACCATGATAAGGATGACGGGGGCCCGCACAAAATGGAGATGGTGGCCCGCATGGAGGAGCTGCAGCGTGGAGAACGAATTATGCCCCCCTGTGATCGGTGTCGCCGTCTTCACATGGACTGTCTGAAGAACCTGACGGCCTGTATGGGATGTACGAAGAAGCACGCCAAGTGTTCTTGGAAGGACGTGAAGGAAGACGAGCTGCGGGAGACGCGGGTAGACCGCAGCTCCCGGGAGCGGATGGAGGAAGGGCCAGCCCAGGAGGCCTCGGCGACCGCCATGGTACCCTCGGCGGTGCAAGCGCCCCCATCCGCGGCGCAGACTCCGGTCTCCGAGCCGACGATGATGGACGTGGATCGACCGCACGCCCATGATCATGTCGACTTCAGTACGCGACGAGAGTCGGCCCCAACCGCGACGGCTGGTCCGGCCGTGGGAACGCCTTTCAAGAGAGACCTCTCCCCTCGTCGCGCGATGAGCGAAATCCAGGGGAGCAACGTGATGACGCACGACCGACGCATCAGCATGCATCGGCACGCTGACTCGGCGCAGGATGATGACGCCCCGGATGCCAATTCGCGTCTCATGCAGGCGATTTTGGACACGGTGGACCACCACGCGCGGGTGGCCGCTGCCGCCAAGGAGGGGCATGAAGTTAGTAACGAACGGGAGCGAGAACGAGAACGTGAGCGCGAGCGCGAGCGCGAGCAGGAGCGCGACCGGGAACGGAAGTTGGTGCGAGCATAGTGTATATTTCGTTGGCGGGATGACCCGGCGCGACTCGGAGTTTTGTATCTATTTTCATGTGGATTCTGGTTTCTGTGTGCACTGTTGAGCGAGTCTGGCAGATATCCCGGTTGTTTGTGGTATAATGCATATTAAGAAGTGTTGAATATGGATTGGTTATCCGTTGAAGCTGTAGTGCAGTGGAGTAATCATGGATCGAGGGTGGATCGCTTGAGGTCATTCCCGAAGCGGATGAAGAACTGCCGACGGTTGATCCGCTGGGGGAAGCTTGTTCTTGGTATCGAGGGTGACCCACAGTGGCCATGCGCAGTACTGTGCGGTCACAAAGCAAGCCCCAATACTCCCTCGAGGCAGGTAGTTTCCAGTATGTAGTTTGGCGATTGGCGTATCGATTATCTTGTAAAGGACCGTCAGCAGGGCAGTCCTCGAGAGATCTCGTTCGATTTTATCAGATGCGGAGGGAACGGCGCAGCGCGGGGATCGCATGCCTCCGTTGACTTATCACCCCACAACTGGTCGGATGGGTCGGGGCGGAGGGCAGAGGGCAGAGGGCAGAGTCTAGCCTGACCCATCGGATGCCCATGACTAGAATATCCAATGATTGCTGCATAGTGCAGGGTGTATGAGGTAAATG